GTGTTAAGGGAAAAGAAATCAACATGAAAAGATTCTTGAAATAAAATATACACATACATATAGAAAAAATATAGCGATACGTCGATTATTTATTTCTTGTTAGTATATTAAATTTTTTTTATTTTATAACGTGATCTTATTAAGGACATTGATAAAAAAACTCTATAACACAGCTGTATTTCTAAAATTACAATGTATATGTTCCCTGTAATCAGTAAATAGATAACGCTGTATGATGAAAATTATTTTTCTCTCATAACACTTCTCAATTGCGTGTTGAAATTGTATATTCCTTTTCAGATATCAATGGGAAGCAGGAAATGCAGGAACTCACTTTTGGCATGCTCACACTGGTCTTCAGAAAATGGATGGTATCTATGGTAGCATTGTCGTTCGCCAACCTCCTTCAAAAGATCCAAACAGCAATCTCTATGACTTTGATCTCACCACCCATGTCTTACTTCTGAGTGATTGGATGCACGAAACTGCTATTGAAAGATACCCTGGGCGATTAGCGGTGAGTTGCAAAGCATTCAATATTCAAAATTAATACTGTATACCATTGATTATACCATGAATTTTGACATTCCTATAGTAACCAAAACCTCACAAAGTCACAATATATGGAAGTGTAAATAATAGATGTTTTGTGTTTTGATAGTATTCAATTATAATACTTTAATAAGTGTTACTACTTTCAAGCCATTCTACATTTTCGAGGAAAATCATCTGTTTCTCAGTATTCACTCCAACCTATTTTTGAATTCTTCACATACATATTTCAAGTATTTGAACATACCTTCAGATAACTTCCGCTTCTGATAACTTCCAAGTTTGTTCCTTTGCTGCCATTTAAATCAATGTCTTCCTTGACTTCTTTCAGAACATCTGCGTATAAGCTTACTGCGGATTTGACAATCACTACCTCATTTCAGTGTGGTTTACGCCTTGGCTTCTCCTGCAGTGTGCTTCACCAGTTTCTTGCTTGGGGCGATAGCCAGTAACCATATAATCTGTGTATCTGCCACTATACATTCTAGCATTTTTCTCACACTGTTCCATTTTTCAATATCTGGTACTGGTATCGCTACTCTGGTTTTTCTTTAATATTCTTTACATCTCTCAAACGCTTCAAATTGTCATATTTCCTGGTCCGTGTTTTCTAGCCGAGATAGCCGTTTGAGGTAGCTGCATGAAAGGAATATATTTTTAAAATAAATATTACTGGAGTTTTATTTTTCCCAACACCAAACCGTTATTTTAACACCTCGACACGACGTGTTTCTATCACCAACTGATCTCTTCAAGAGTTTAATCTTCCTCTTGAAGATGATCACTTGGTGATCGAAACACGTGTTGAGGTGTTGAAATAACGGTTTGGTGTTTCGAAAAAAAAATCCAGTAATATTCATTACTATACCAAAGGTTCCAAACAGTGCATCACGAGTACAACATATTTTTCTCAAATAATATGCTGATTTCTCGCAGTAACTAAAAATAAATTGGAAGTTTGATCTTCCTGCACTTGTATAAAGTTCTTCAAAACTAATAGTCCTGCTTGGAAGTTTGGAAAAAGTGGAATTTGGAGAAATTAGAGAAAACAGAAAAACAGTTACCTGCTCGATTTGCTGGCGCCGGAGTTGATACAGTGTATAACACAGTTTTTTGTTGTTTCAGGTGAATACCGGTCAAGATCCAGAGAGTTTACTTATAAACGGTAAAGGTCAGTTCAGAGACCCCAACACTGGTTTCATGACCAACACACCTTTGGAAGTTTTCACAATTACCCCGGGTAAAAGATATAGATTCAGGATGATTAATTCATTCGCTTCGGTATGTCCGGCTCAATTAACATTCCAAGGTCATGATTTGACTCTTATCGCAACAGATGGAGAACCTGTACATCCTGTCAAAGTCAACACCGTCATTTCATTCTCCGGTGAGTTATCATTGGTGATTTCTTGTATATCTCATGTCAATGTCTGAAACAATTGTGAATTAAATCTATATGTGAATGTGAAGTACAATTGTAATACTACGAAAAAAGTTCGTTACAATCGAGAAGTATATTTCCACCCTCAGCTTTTCACCTGAATCACATTCACCAAAATCTATACTATCTATCTATACTAATTCAAATGTGAAACTTTGTGAGGATGGATATATGTATGTATGTATATTTGTGGTTCTTTCACGCCTAAACGACTGAACGGATTCAGATGAAACTTTACATAAATACAGCATATACATCAGAATAATATATAGGCTACAATTTACAAAGGTTTTGTGTAATTTTAGTCATAATATAACGATAAATATTAAGTAAGGCGGAAAATTTCTTGCTCCCTTAGAGCTATTTTGGTGTGCGCTGCCTATACTATTGTAGATAAATGCAGATGATGTACCGTAAGATTGTTTATCTCGAGTAGTTCTAAATGAGAGTCTGCCAAAGTATATATCTAGCTCTTATGTGGTAGCCAGGAGATGCAAAATACTGAGTCATAAATACAATTGAATTGGATACTTTTTTTACAATTCACATTTTAGAGTATTTGTCAAATTTTTATAAAAATTTTCGTTTCAAGTATTCAGTCATTTAGGCGTGAATGAGCGACAAACATACATGCATACATACATCTGTCTAAAATCTGTTTAAAATACTAACATTTATCCATCCTCACAAACTTTCACATTTATAATATTAGTATAGAGTAAAGATACAACCATATTTTATTGAGAAAATCACTGGAAGATTCTGAGAGAAAATCCTCCTCATTCATTAAATGAGTTATTTTCAGATTCATTCAGAACAAAACAGTAATAATGTTTGAATGTTAATTTCAATTCAGTTCAACTGCACTATATAACTTCCTGACATATACCTTATCATTTTTGAACTAATTTTTGAGGGAACTACTATAACCGTAGGTAATTGAATAATTTTCCATGCAGTACTACACTTTCAAAGAAAATTAATTCATTGAAAACAAAAATATTTTCTTTTTTGATGTATATCATTCAATATTTTCACTTAAATCGCTTCTAAAAAATCATATATTACATTCTTTTATATCTCTACCTCATTTGAACTGCCCATCCCTAAAACTTCATATGTATGGGTTAAATATTCCTACTAATGTCTCAGATATCAGACACGACATATATTCTTAATAATATCCCAGAAACAGCATCCATTCATTCCCAAATGCCATAAATGTCTTCAGGATATTATAACAGAACTTTCTATGTCCGCAGGACATTCTGAATTACTGATTCTCACTTCATAACGAGGATATTTTCAGCTTCTCTATAGGATATGTTTTTCTGATGTCCAATTCCATCACAATTCTTCATTGTAACAGGAGACATATTACAAGTATTTCGTGGGAAACGAGTTTTACATTTGAAACAATCGTGACAATTTCAAAAAAAGCATAGTTTGATGTAGTCTGCGAGTTGTTAACAATAGGGTTTTGTTACATATGCCAGTTTTGCATCCCTTTTGTTTCTTTCATCGTGTTGTGTTCAACGTTCACTATTGACTAAACGTTTGATACTCCAATCAAACTAAATCGAAATCATCCACTTTCTCAAAATAACTGTCGATTTGAGACAGTTTGGTATTCCGTGATTTCCTTTCTAGAGAGAAAACTGGAACCCCACTGCTGAAATAACATTTTTATATAATTAACAGACAAATAGAAGGGATTGAATATGAATGATGGTTTAAAATATTCTAATTAATGTACAAGACTATCAATAATATTACTTACCAAAAACTTCAATTGGCCCTAAAGATGTGTGTAAGACATTTATTAGGATTTCTACTGCCATTTTGAGAAAACAAATGATATAGATTTGATTTTCCACTGTACAGTGAAAACCATACGATCAAGAGATATTGTACTGTTTACCATGGAGACTGAAAAGGATCAATGGATAACATTCCTAAATGTTTTCATCGAACATTGTGGTGGTAGACTGACCCACAAAGTATACCAAAAACCCACGCACACAGATAAATACCTGCACGTACTACCGAACCACCATCTTAGTCAAAAGAGAAGAGTCATTACTATTTTAACTGAACAGGCTCGAAGAATATGTAAACTAGAGCATCTCGAGGAAGAACTGGAACATCTCCAAGTGACCTTGAGATCGAATAGATACAGCTTACCCGAGATCAACAAAGCCATGAAACTGAAGGGTTCCACGGTTCAAAACGATCATTACTATTTTAACTGAACAGGCTCGAAGAATATGTAAACTAGAGCATCTCGAGGAAGAACTGGAACATCTCCAAGTGACCTTGAGATCGAATGGATACAGTGTACCCGAGATCAACAAAGCCATGAAACTGAAGGGTTCCACGGTTCAAAACGAGGAGGGGGCTCAGATGATTTCACGTTCATATCTACCATATATCCCTAGTGTCATAGACAGAATTGGAAAACTCTTAGGGAAACATTGAAACGGTTCCTAAACCAGCCAAACAAATACAAAAAAGTCTCTGGTTGGCTAAAGACAAAAGAGACCCATTATCAGCAGCAGGGGAGTATCGTATACCGTGTGGAAAGGTAAACATCGGAACCAGCAAAAAAATCCATTGGGACAAGGCTGAAGGAGCATGAAAGAAACTGCAGACTAGATCAAACGAACAAGTTGGCTGTGGCGGAACACGCACTCGGTGAAGGAAATCACAGGATTCTGTTTGAAAATACGAAACTCGTTGCCCCTAACCAGGGATATCATAGCCAACTGGTACGGTAGATGATTGAGAGCCACATACACACGGATAATTTCAACAGAAAAGAAGAAACTATGAATCTCAAACGAATATGGAATCCCATTCAGGAATAGCAAAAAGCATGATGGGAGGTAGAAAAAGGGTCAACGAATGTTATTGACAATTTGACAATTTACCTAATCCACGACCAGATACCAGTATTAGCACACCAAACTATCTGAGTCAACATGAACACGGTTTACGAATTTCACCTATTCTATGTACAGGTATTAGCACACCAAACTACCTGAGTCAACATAAATACGTCATACGCAGCCGTAATATCTAGTCATCGAAGATTACCCAAGATGTATAGACCTCTGAAGAAGCTGGCCACTCGCTCCAGCGAAACGTCAGGAAGAAATTGCAAAAATCGACGGCCTTCAAACCCGAAAACCCTGGGCACGAAAGTCCTAACCATTTTGATACTGTGCTAGAAAAAATATTCACCACTCTTCACTGGAAGATAAGAGATGCAAATCTGTCACATTTCTCTTCGCATTAGCAGAGAGAATTAATAAAACAGTCCTCTATTTATCTCTTTTGGTATACACGTGATATGCATACCTGCCGTTTGAGGTAGCTGCATGAAAGGAATATATTTTTAAAATAAATATTACTGGAGTTTTATTTTTCCCAACACCAAACCGTTATTTTAACACCTAAGAAAACAATAAGCACAATATTATTTAAGTGTTATTTCCTTTCATTTGTATTGAATATTCCTATACATGGTGAATATGGTGGAAGACCAAGGACCTTGGTCCAAAGTAGAATAATTCCTATTATTATTTTTATAATTACCAAAATGTATTTTTGTTTGTGTATAACCTAACGGGCATAAGCATTCAGCCAAGCTTTGGATGGCTAAGTAAGAAAATCAATATAATATAGTAGTAACTAATCCCTCGGCTTTCATTTTTTCGAAAGTTGGAAAATTCTGCTGGTGGGGTTGAGAAAATTCGGATTCCCTCCCCCCTGGTATTTCTTTTCGCTACGGCCCTGGTTGTAATCTTATATTTTCAATTTTAGGAGAAAGATACGATTTCATTATAAATGCAAATCAACCCGTTGGAGCTTACTGGATTCAACTGAGAGGTTTAGGAGAATGTGGTGTGAGAAGAGTTCAACAGTTGGCCATCCTGCGTTATGCCAGAGGTCCATATCAACCTTCGACCGCCCCACCCACATATGACTATGGTATACCACAAGGAGTGGTAAGTAGGCAATCCCAATCAAATTTATACGGTGAAGATAAAAATATTTTGCGAATGTAAATAACAGTTGAAGAGTTTGACAGCTCTAGTGATCTATGTATATATTTCCAACGGCTTGTTAAGATTTATAGGAAAAATCACAATCAGTCCCGAGTTCAGTATCAGATTCGCAGTTCATTTTCCTAGAATTTTTTCCATAGCAAGAATCAAAAATAGTTTATCACGATGCCTGTAATAATGAAATTAGAATAGAAAGCTTTCCTTCACTGTGCAGTGGTAGTGAAAATGGCTAAGATTTTAAAAGGTGTTGGAACAAATTCAAATGTATAAATGAGCCAAGCTGCTTTTTAGGTCCATAGTTATTTTTGTAAAGAAATCAAAACTTTCAATTCTCAGGACGTTTTTGTTGAATGTACAGTGTACATAGATATTTCAATTAAACTATCAACAGGTTCTTAACCCATTGGATGCAAGATGTAACGAAATCAGACCAGACGCTATTTGCGTGAGTCAGTTGAAAAATGCACAAGAAATAGACAGAGGAATTTTAGCTGAGAGGCCAGATGTTAAAATTTTCCTACCGTTCAGATTCCATGTTTATACTCCAGAGGATCTATTTGCCCCCAACACTTATAACAGACATTTAGGTGAGTAAAAGTGTCACCAATGAAAATCAATTTCACTGATTGGTATTTCATAAATTATTTGATGAAATTGTTTTTTATAGTTGCGCCGAATGGAGACCATGTAATAAGTCTGATAGATGAAATTTCATACATGTCGGCTCCAACCCCACTAATTTCTCAGTACGATGATATCAACCCCGAACAATTCTGCAACGGAGATAACAGACCAGCTGATTGTGGACAAAACTGCATGTGCACTCACAAAGTTGATATACCACTCAATGCGATTGTTGAAGTTGTATTAGTTGATGAAGGTAAGGTTTAAAAACTGAACTGCGTTGTATTTATCATAAATCTGCATATCACATAATTGAAATTTTTGTACAAAAAATATCTTGAAAAGCCTCTATCTTTAAAAAAACACTGTGCTCTTGTTGATCTACCTAACAGCATTACCCTGCCAAGATATTAACCACATGGTTGCAGAAGCACTACTAAAGAGAACGAATATGTTTATGGCAAACTTTTTCGAGAGTTATCCACCTCTTATGGTTGATCGCCGACTATAATTCGAGTGTAATATTTCTAGAAGAATGATTTTATATATGCTTTCATAGATTTTGAATACTATGGGGAAATCACTCGAAAACCAAATACTGACAGGGTTTTACTTTCATTTGACAACACCTCTTCACTTGTTTTCCTCAAGACTAATGAGGGTTTTGTCAATTAAGTAACATATTTGATTTTTGGGTTTTCTCATTGAGTTACTCAAAGGACAGCAGATGTCTCTGATCACACTTGCACCATAATAGTTCTCTTTTGTTCCATAGTTTTATCATCGACAAACTAACACACTTTTTCCAACTGAATCCCATGACAGCTGTCATTGTCTATTGTTTTTGTCTCTCTCTTGTTTTATCGAAATATTGGAATAACTTGTGTTATAAGAGTACAATTCCGTTCTGCTGACATTTCGACTATATTTTATGTCATCATCAGGGGTACTTCAGTTATGAAATGATCAACATGGATCTATATCAATGAAGATACTAATTACATTGTCCATGAGGTTGTTTGCGAAAAGTGGAACACCAAATGAATTTTATTTATATATAACAGTTATGGAATCTATACAATATGTTTATAACTTACCTACTGAGATTTCAGTATAGTATTTACTGTCCAAGATTCCATAAATGGTATGTGTAAAATTAATTCATGTTGTGATACACCTTTTGTATTCCACCCTGTGAACATTGAGTAGTTTTTTCATGTTAATTATTTTATAATCGTAGTAGCCCTGATGATGACATTAAACACCGTAGAAATATTGGAATAAATCATACCGATTTGGCCTGTATATACTGCAGAGTATTCGCCACAGTCTATGAATATAAATAAAATCTACCAGTGGTATTTAAACAAAGGTCTGATATCAAAATTCCTACCGATTTGGCCTGTTTATACTGCAGAGTATTCGCCACAGTCTATGAATATAAATAAAATCTACCAGTGGTATTTAAACAAAGGTGTTTTTATTTATTTCATTTAAGGCATCATGAATTAGATACCATAAAGTAAACAAGTCTTCAATCACACATACCTATGCTACGTACTATATAAATATAGACCATTTTTTTAGCTGAATTGCTATCTCAAAATCGGTAGGTCGTACAAGAACGGTTCATTCGAAAGTTGTCTTTTAAGGAATACAAGATAATGGCATTCTCAGATCGACAAAATCACCAACCGTTTCTGATATATTTGCAAAAAACTGAAAATGTTAGATGTTATTTTTTACTTACCGCCTTCATTCTCAATAATATCAAAAAACGAAAAAGGAACTCTTTGCTTTATTTAATGTTTTTCATAATCTTATTCAATCCGAAATTCGAAGTTTCATTTTTTGAAAATTTTCATATTCAAGTCCTATATTCAATTTATGGTTTCGAATCAGAAGCTACAAAAATGATGAAATGGTCAACATCAATGAAATAAATGTTTTCATTATGGATATTCCTACTAATTTCATTCTTATTCCTCATTCCTATCGAATTCATTATTTCCGTAGCTTTTTATTTAGAACTATTTATTGAAAATAAGATTTGAGTATGAAATTCGAATTTTAGGTTGAAATCCGATATGTAGAGTAATAATCGATTTCCAAAAACATTTTTCAAATGACTTATTTCGGGATCATCAACGCGAAGCAAAATATCGAAAATTTGTCCTTTTCGGGGGACCGCAGTAGGCTGGATTCAAATTCAGGCTGAGTACTGTAAAAAATGCGGCCCATGAAGATCTTTGCCTGCTTCTAAAATCAAATATCTGCTTTCAAAAATGACTGAAATACATGAGTGTCTTCATCTTGTGTGTGTCACACTGAATTTATACATATGAATTAGTGATGTTTTTGTATCCAATAAAGTTTTATTTCTATTTTTCAGTTCAACAGCCAAATCTGAGTCATCCTTTCCATCTTCACGGATATTCATTCAATGTAATAGGTATTGGTAGGTCACCGGACAGAAACGTCAAAAAAATCAATCTCAAACACGCTCTCGATCTTGACAGACAAGGTCTTCTTCACAGACAGTTCAACTTGCCTCCTGGTAAAGACACCATAGCTGTGCCAAATAATGGATACGTGGTACTGCGGTTCAGAGCAGATAACCCAGGTTTTTGGCTGTTCCATTGCCACTTTTTGTTCCATATAGTCATAGGAATGAATCTAGTCTTCCAAGTCGGCAGTCACTCTGATCTGCCGCCAGTTCCACCAGGTTTTCCAACTTGTGGAGACCATTTGCCTGATATAACGATATAGGTTCACACAAGTATCAGTGTATCAAATACATTCTGAATAATGTATATTGTGCAAGAGTATTACTGTTGAGATGCATAGAAACCCTGGAGCTATAATAGAATCTCAAAGAACGCTCAAAAATGTTACTTGTTATATTTTTTTAAATCTAGAGCATAAGGTGTCATCGACTCATCAGGCTGATGGCTACACATTCTATTTTGTACCGGGTTTCTATATATCGCCGTTTTAGTCTTTGATCCGTCTCTTGGGGAAGTTTAAATTAAGTTGGCAGCACGACTGATCCATTTATAATTTCCAAACATAATGAACGTTATGCTTGGAATTCAATTTTTACTAGCTACAAGTCACATACAAGTATTCAAATACTTTCACTAAATTATGTTCAATGACGCAGTAGAAATGAATGGAAATGTATATTTGTGTGTGTCAAAGATACTAAATGAATACCTACTACCAATTTTACTAAGTAGAAATCGTTCGTGCTTTTCAAAATTTTCGACCATTTGAATAAAGTAAGTTAGACTATTTATCATTAAAAGCGCTGAATGTACCTTTATGATGTTAGATTACCAACTAATTTGTGTATTCCCTGAAGAGCGACCAAGACTACAGTTCCCTTGATAAAGTTTTGTTGGGTTGCTACTACATAAAATGGAGTTTTCGATCTTGCCATTCAAAAAATTGTTAGCTTCTTTGTTAGTTTTTTTTGTAATTTATATTATTTATCGGTAAATAATGGTCTTTATCTCGCCATAATTATTTAAGGTAAGTATAAGCTCCTACCTCCATACTCCTCACTAACCATTTTTCTGTTTTTCATAACACCTACTTTGTTATATCTAGTTACCGAAACCTTGGTGCTATTAAGGCCAAGAGGCTGTATATAAGTATCTATTTCAATATCAAAAATTTGCTTTCAGTATATACTCTTACTTTTCTAATCAGTATTAGAAACTCTGTTGCTCAAAAGCTTCACATAGTTGTTATTCAGTTGATTCAAAATTTTCCATTCAACACCATAAACCTCTCATTTATATATTTAATTTTACTCCATATCCTATCCAAAAGAGTATTTCTGTATAGATGTTATCTATTTTGTTTTTTGGAAGTTGACCATAGTGTTGTTATTTGAGATTGACTAGTCTTCCACAGTCTTTTATACTGATAGTTTATAATTCTCAAGTTACTGTTTTTAAAACATAGTGTATATTATATGAAATAAAAATGTGTATAATGTATATAAATTTGGTGTTGGTGTATATATATTTTCCCCGAAACTCCCACATGACCAAAGTGTAAATATTTCAATGTGGCTTGTAAATTCAATGAATAGTTTGTAGCGAGCACTGAGAAATGAGCAATTAATCGATAATAATTTTTCAGAATCACGTAATCACCAATAGAATATATCGATATTAAAGACTGCCTAAAGCAGTTTGTTCCGAAACAATCAAATATTTGCGAAGCAAAAAAATTAACCGAATTCAGCAGTATATTACTAGACTCCTGGAGTATTCTACCAAAAAAGGTATCATTACTCTCTTTCAACATTTTGGCCTACATGACATCCCTCGCAAATGATGCATTAACACGAATTCTCTTTCATTAGTTCGGACTTCCAATGTCTAATATGATATAAATTGATTTGAAATCCCTGAAAGAATCTATAAAAAATTAAGAAGATTATCTGAAAACTTACAATTATATGAAGCAAAAAAACTGAAATTACAATGAAATAAAATACAAGCAACAACCAAAAATTAAAAAAAAAATTAACTATCAACACAAGATGAAAATTAAAAAAATTATCAACAAGAGATGAACATTAAAAATTAAAAGATTCCAGCCAAGTTACTTCACGACGTTTCGATTGTTAGTATCCACAATCATCTTCGGATGATAACAGAACTCATTCCTCCGAGATCTGACTTTTTATAGGTCATTCGAGCGCTTTCACCTATCTCCTCTTTTCTCTCTCCGCTTTATCGGTTTTAGCGGGAGCTGACCGTTTGGCTGGGGTTGGTCGTGTTCCGCTTGATTAGAGATTTCAGTATGTTGCGTATCTCTATGCTAGCTTGGCTAAATGCTTTGTTGGACAACATACATGCGGCTTCAGAAGATCGAAGGGGTGCTTCAGAAAGAAAAATACACGAAGGTCGTAAGGGACCCTACTGCATCAATTGAAAGGAAGTTGTACCAGACTTTGAAAAAACACTAAGTCTATTTTTCGGAAAAAGAGAGATCATCGCTAACACCGCACCACAGTAAGCCCCCTCACTTGTATGGACTACCCAAAATCCACAAGAATGATGTTCTGCTGAAACCGATCATTAGCTCCAGAGATTCAGCCTCTCAATACTTGTCCCGATTTTTACTACCAATATAATTAAACCACTGCAAGGAAAAACAATATTTTTTGTGAAGAATTCAAAGCATCTTGTCGAACTACTAGGGGCAATCGAAGTTAGAAAGCAGGATCCACTGATCAGTTTTGACGTGCAAAGCCTCTACACCAACGTTCCTGTCGAAGAAGCACACTTATACAGAGGAAGCTATCCGAAGATGAGGTCCTGAAAGATAGAACAAACTTACCGATACAAGTAATCATGGAATTACTAGGATGATGTGTACGAAACTACTACTTCCAAGTGAAGGACGAATTCTTTACGCAAGATGAGGGACTGCCAATGGAATCGCCACTTTCATCGGTTATAGCCAACATATATATGGAGTGTTTTGAAAGTCTGGCCACTGAAGAAGCCCAGAGTCTGAGAAGTATTGGTGAAGAGGACCGACACTGAATGGGAAACATCTGTATACCGAAAATCCACTCACACGGGACAGTATCTGAACCAGGAATCCAACCATTATCAATCGACTAAGAGAGGAATTAAGACTCTTTTAGACCGTGCTATCGGGCTCTGTAATAGGAAGGTCTCGGAAAGGAACTAGGCATCATGAAAAATGACCTTCAACGGAATGGTTACTCGAAAATGATAATGGGGCAGACTTTAGCTAGAAAACAGCAAAAGCCTCACAAGGAAGAGAAGCTGCCACAACCAGTACTCGTACTTCCCTACATCAGAGAATTATCAAAAAGGATGAAAAGAATTGGGGCCGAGTATAACATCAGAACCTGCTTCAGATCTGGGAAAACTATCCGTAGCGGCCTCAAGAAAACCTGGCCACCAAACGCGGACTGCGATTCCAAGAATTGCATTTACTGGATACCCTGCGAGTGCAGAAAATCATACATCGGTGAAACTAAAAGGACATTGAACGTTCGCATTGCCGAGCACAAGAATCACACAGTGAGGAGAAACCACCAAATCAGGAATAGCAGAGAATGTTTGGACTCATCATATGAGTTCAAATATACATATATGTTGTCCAACAACGCATTTAGCCAAGCTAGCATAGAGATACGCAACATATGGATAGATCTAGTCAAGCGGAACACGACCAACTCCAGCCAATCGGTCAGCTCTTGCTAAAACCGATGAAGCGGAGAGAGGGAAGAGGGGATAGATGAAAGCACTCGAATGACCTATAAATAGTCAGTTATCGTCCGAAGACGATTGTGGATACCATAAATCGAAACGTCGTGAAGTAACTTGGCTTGGAATCTTTCAAATTTTAATTTTCATTTCTTGTTGATAGTTCAATTTTTTCGGATTTGTTAGTTATTGTTTGTCTTTTATTACAATGTAATTTCAGTTTCTTTGCCTAATATAATTTTTTTTAAGGTAATCTTTTTAATTTTTTACAGATTCTTTCAGGGATTTCAAATCAATTTATATCATATTAGACAGTGGAAGTCCGAACTAATGAAATGCACCACGAAACATTGTCGACCACCTTCAAACAACATGATTCTAGTTTTGTTTCGACTACCTATTGCTGATATAGTTGGCGATGATCTGTTTGCTAAGGAGGAACAAAGTAAATAGGTATAGCTTGTCAAATCCAGGAAGAGAGATGAAAATCCTCACAATATGCGCGTTCCGTATAACCATATCAAAATTTGAAAGCTCTTCCCACATTTGACAAGCTCTACCAAAGAGAATGATTGATAGTTTGAGCGTTACAAACACTTATAACAGTTACTGGCACATAATATAACTTCACAAACATCGGCTGACACGCTCATAGCGTCCCTGAAAAACCTTGACATTGACTGCAACAATATGGTGGGAGGGGTACGATGGTGCAGCTGTGATGAAATGTGCTTTTAATGGCGTTTAAACAATGTTACGGAGATCAATCCTCGAGCTCTGTTTCTTCATTGAAGCTCCCATTCTTTAAACTTGACCGTTTGTCAATCGTGTAGTGTACCTCCTATAAGAAATTGTATAAGAACTATTAAAGCAATCGCAAATTTTTTGAGAGCATCTCCAAAGCGGACAAGCTTCCTTCAGACACGCATTAGGGCCAACTTTCCTGATGCAACATGACAGAAATTAACACCAATTTGTGAAACGCGGTATGTGGAAAATCACAACGGCTTGTTAAAATTTGAACAAATTTTCAAATCTTTTATTGGGACTTTGAACAATTCAGCATATACTCGGATATGGAGACCTCAACCAAAACTTTTTTTTTCTGAGATCTGCTCTTGCCAGCGAATTCGTGGTATCACTCTCTTTTTTCGCTAAGGTGTTTGCAACAACATTAACGGTAAGCAAACTCCTGCAGTTACCTCTTTGTGACTTAATGAAAGCTGTAGACCATATTGAGAACGTAACATTGCACTTTCAAGATATTCGACCCAATATTGAAAAATTATTTTCAAATTCATTCACAGAAGCAAAGGATTTATTGGCCGATATCAATGAAGAGATCAAGCTCCCACGGTTGTACATGGATTAGTACAGAAGCATCGCTCTAATCCAAATACTAATAACCTCGAACAGTATAACCGCATATCTATAGCAATACCCCTATTAGAAGACTTAACTTCCCAGCTCAAAATAAGATTCATTGACCACGAGAAAGTGATTGCTGCTATGTATACACTCTTATACCAACAGTCTGTTCCGAGAAGATAAAGCCATTTCCAAGAAAGGACCTAGTGATGTACGAGGACCTGGTGGAACTAGACGAGGCACAAGGCGAATTACAACTATGGAAGTTGTGTCAAGGTAAAGCCCTTCGGACCGGCTTTTTTGCGCCATTTAGGCTATCGGAAAAATAACTGTCGATTTGAGACAGTTTGGTATTCCGTGATTTCCTTTCTAGAGAGAAAACTGGAACCCCACTGCTGAAATAACATTTTTATATAAATAACAGACATAATGATGATTTAGAATATTCTAAACGATGTACAAGACTAAAATAAATGATATAGATTTGATTTCATTTGCCTGTCAAGAATCTATGTGCCTCTGAACAGTGAAAACCATACGATCAAGAGATATTGTACTGTTTACCATGGAGACTGAACAGGATCAATGGATAGCATTCCTAAATGTACTCATCGAACATTGTGATAGTAGACTGACCCACAAAGTGTACCAAAAACCCACACACACAGATAAATACCTGCACGCACCACCGAACCACCATCTTAGTCAAAAGAGAGGAGTCATCACTGCTCTAACTGAACAGGCCCGAAGAATATGTGAACCAGGGCATCTCGAGGAAGAATTGGAACGTCTCCAAGTGACCTTGAGATCGAATGGATACAGTTTACCCGAGATCAACAAGGCCACGAAACGGAATGGTTTCACGGTTCAAAACGGGGAGGGGACTCAGATGATTTCACGTTCATATCTACCATAGACAGAATTGGAAAACTCTTAGGGAAACATTGAAACGGTTCTCAAACCAATCAAACAAATACAAAAAGTCTCAGGTCGGCTAAAGACAAACGAGACCCACTATCAGCAGCAGGGGAGTATCGCATACCATGTGGAAAGGTATACATCGGAACAAGCAAAAAATCCACAACAAACAAGGTTGAAGGAGCATGAAAGAAACTGCAGACTAAATCAAACGAACAAGTCGGCAGGATTCTGTTTGAAAATACGAAACTCATTGCCGCTAACCAGGGATATCATAGCCAACTGGTACGGTAGATGATTGAAATCCACATACACACGGATAATTTCAACAGAAAAGAAGAAACTGTGAATCTCAAACGAATATGGAATCCCATTCTAAGAAGTTCAGAAATAGCAAAAACCATGATGACAAGTAGAAAAAGGGTCAACGAATTTTATTGACAATTTACCTAACCCACGACCAGGTACCAGTATTAGCACACCAAACTACCTGAGTCAACATAAATACGTCTTACGCAGCCGTAATATCCAGTCATCGGAGATTACTCAAGATGTATAGACCTCTGAAGAAGTTGGTCACTCGTTCCAGCGAAACGTCAGGAAGAAATTGCAAAAATCGACGGCCTTCAAACCCGAAAACCCTGGCCGCGAAAGTCCTAAACATTTTGATACTGTGCTAGAAAAAATATTCAACACACTACACTGGAAGAAAAGAGATGCGAAACTGTCACATTTCTCTTCACATTAGCGGAGAGAATCAGTAAAACAGTCCCCTATTTATCTCTTTTGGTATACACGTGATATGCATACCTACAATATGTAATAATAGAAAGATTCCTGGTATGATCTGACAAAATTTGAGTTTTTTTTTTTCTGACAGGTACAGAACGTCCTCAAACTTGCAAAATTGATCCCTTAGAGTCTTTGTTTCATCCTAGTGACATTTTCAGGACATCTTGGGTCCCAGTGACACGATTGGAATATCCACCGACATCCTACGGATGATTCGAAGTCGTCCCTCATTAGTCCCAAAAAATTATTATGCTATCTGAAATGACACCTTTAAGAAGAAATACATTCCACTAATTAATGATATAACTGCAGTAATATGGAAGGTTTCCAAAACAAGTATTTTTTCCAACCACCAGAATCGATAGAATTCTGCCAGAACAATTTAAAAATATGAAAATGGGTTGTAATCAGGATCGTCATGGGAGGGGGGGGGAGAGTCTCCCCCCCTGCTTTCCAAGTAAGAGAACAGTCCTGAACAGTCCACAAATTTTGAAGTGACAATTTTACAAAATTCCCAACTTCTCGCTGTTATTTCGACTTTCGGAAAAGTTGTGAAATTTCGGGCCGTCAAAATAGAAAAAATAATAGAAGAAAACAATAAGCACAATATTATT